AAGAAAAATATTTTATTTAGAGATTGTTGGGACAGTTTTTTGAAATTCATTTTCGTTCAAATATAATGGGCATTTTAAGTTGAAAATCGCAAAAGCTGTTTTCAGCTCTTTCAAAGATTTTCATATATCTGAACAACGGATGCATATTTTAAAAATCCGTCCCAACAATTTATAGAGAAAAGATTGATCTTTCGAATAAAAAAAAATTCAGTAATATGCATTGAGCGGTGGTCCTGGAAAATGTTCCGTAATGGTCAGAAAACAAGAAAAAAGTGAAGCTGAGAAAAACGAGTAACAACGTTGCGGAGTAGTTCATAGTGTTCCAGTGTAAATATTTGTAACATGTTATATATCATTGGAAAACGCGTTAAAAGATCTACCTGTTCATAATATTTTCGACAAAAAATAAAGCAGATTTTAAAATTCAAGTTTATTGTAGCGCTACCTTTTCGAAAATTACGCTGTTTTGACGGTTACTGGTCAGATATAGTATCAGCTATGGCGAACATATCACACAGTGAATCAAAGGAATTTACGAATTATATTTAGCTTTTCGTACCGTTATTTCATAAAGCTCTGAAAAAGAAGAAAGTGACTATGCTCGACATTCTGGAAAAAATCAAAAATTAAATATTTATCGATTCCGTTTTAAATTTCTGAGAAGTTGTTCAACTTAGTTCTAGATATACTTTTTTTATTTGTACATAAAAGATGCCTCGTCCTCAGAGCAAGTCTTATGCTCGTCGATCTCGACAAAAATTCATCAACAATCTTTACCATTCTAAGTCTTATTTATTCTCTAACGATAAAGAAAACAAAGAAACTTCACCAAAATCATCGTTTTCTGCTTCTTCGGCATCATCAGTTGATACCTTAAAATTGAATTCATCGATATTGAAACCAATTTCAGTAAATACACCATTACCATTGAAACGACGACAATATTCATCAACTCCACAAACATCACAAGAACGTTCAATGTCAGTTTCCTCCTTCACACCATGTGCATTATCAGCAAAACAAAAAATAAATGAACCATTTCTAGGATCATCGTCAAGAAAAATTCAGAATTACGAACAAGAATTGCATTGTATTCACAACGACGACGAATATGATTTTTATCAATTGGTTCATAATAGTTCTTTGTTAGAATTAATGAAAAATACTATCTGTCAATCGTGTCTTGAAAATTGGGATGGTAAAATGCATCTGAAGAAACGTGAAGGTAGTTTGCAGTTACTTTGATTTTTTCAAGTATTCATTTCGTATATTACTTTAGGTTTATATTTTTCTATTGAATTTCAATGTCAATGTTCAAACATAATTCGAATCAACTCGTCTACTCAATCTTCAAATACGAAACATCGAGATATAAATATTCGTTCTGTTATTGGTAACTGTTATTGGTTCTACAAACAGAAGCTTTGATAATCTTGTACCGATTTTCTTCTTATTTTAGCAGCGAATTTGTCTGGAGTCGGTCATGCTGGACTAATGAAGATTTGTGGTGCATTAAATGTGCCTCCTCCATTAGACGAAGATCATTTTTCAAGCCTGATGTGTGAAATTCTATCGACCGTACAAAAACATCAACACGAATCCATGAAAAAAGCCGTGGAAGAAGCTTGTGAAATTGCTAGTTCTAGGAAACTGACTGTCTCTGGCGACGGCAGCTGGCAAAAACGAGGCTTTGCTAGTCTCAACGGAGTTGCTGCTATTCTTTCTAGTTGTTCAACACCAAAGGTAATGTGAAGCTTGTGAAGTGTTTCTTAATAATTTTTATTTTTTCAGGTTTTGGATATCGAACGAATGTCTAAAAAATGTTCAATCTGTGACGGTGCACGTAGTATTAAAGAGAACAACAAAGAACAATATGAAGAGATAATCAATAACCATAACTGCCAAATCAATTTCAAAGGTTCCGCAGGTATATGTTAAGCCAAAATTTTCTCTTCTTTCGAAAAACTTTTTTACGATTGCTAACTTGTAGGAGCGATGGAGGTCGATGGCATATATCGGTTATTTAGTAGGTCCGTTCTGCTGTACAATGTGCAATACTTGAAGTAAGTAAATTTTGACAAAATTACCAGTACCAATTTGCTGTTTTGCAATGATTATGACTTTGTTTTGCTTTTATCATTTGCCGCATTGAGCATTATTATTTACTTCTTGCTCAGATAAGTACTTTCAATTAGGCGCTTTTTCTTTTGTTCACACAGAGATGCTTTGTGAAATCTTTTACATTTAGCTATATTGGAGATGGAGATACTAAGACGATGTTAAAATTATCGAGTGAACCACCATATCCGGATGTCGTTGTTCACAAAATTGAAGACGTCAATCATTGGTGCAAGAAAATGCAGCATAGATTGGAAAAGAAAAGGAATGAAATGAAGAACATCATTGTCGACGGGAAAAAAGGAATAGCTGGTGCAGGAAGGTTGACAGAAAGTAAAATATCGGCTTTTCTGTCCATTTATTCAACTGTTAGTCTTCGCATTTTTCTTAGATATGATAATAAATTTCAAGTATTATTACCGACAAGCAATAGTCAGAAATAGAACCAATCTGGAAGAAATGGTTAAAGCTGTGTGGGCAATTTACAAACACAAGGTTGAAATATGCTTTTAAAAGTAAAAATACAGAGTACTTTCTATTGTTTTTTAGGCGTCAACTAATCAGGAACCTCACCATGAATGGTGTAGCCCAACATACTGTGGATATTGGAGAGCCTTATTGGAAGGTAACAGTTACTGTTTCTTCTCTTCTGTTGCTTTGCGCAAAAAGTTTTCGTTAAAGAAAAAGTCATTTTTGTTCACTTTGAAGGTTGTTTTTGTTTATCCTATTGTTGCATAAACAAAACAAGTATTTTTCCTTGCTTCTTACTTGATTTAGTAATCAGAAATAGAAATGTCTATAGGATATTCAGCTATTTTTTGCAGATCAAGAGTATGATCATACTCCACACAGTCTTCCACAAGGAGTCATGAAAGCCATTCGACCAGTATTTGAAGAATTAGCATCTCGTAAGTTCTGCAAAGATTCATTTTGCTCAAGAAGCTGCACTTTTCATGTTGCACTTAGCTGTTTCTGCTGTTTTTCTTTTCTTTAAAAATATATATATCATTTTTTTTGCTCTATTTTGCTGGTATTTACTTTCCTGGGAACAATCATTAGATAAGTATTTTTCTCTTATTATAGTACGATGCTTTGTGGAGTTTTCTATTTGAATTTCAGCTGAAATCCTCAAGCGAGTTCTTCATGGATCGACTCAGAACCCCAA